TTATGGGCCTCATCAGTGTAGTGCTGATGAGCAGGATGAAAGTAACTGCTATTTACAGTTACCTTTGATGCCTCACGATTGTGGGACATCAAAACCTTCCAAAGCGCTCAAACTGCAAGCAGTGAGCGTGCGCAATGTGTAAGCGGCATGGCTCATCCTGTAGAGCGCTCAAAATGACCTAAAGGCCATAGAGCGATATCTAATTACAGACAGTACCGTTTCGGCCTTATGGGCCTCATCAGTGTAGTGCTGATGAGCAGGATGAAAGTAACTGCTATTTACAGTTACTTTTGATGCCTCACGATTGTGGGACATCAAAACCATGCCAGAGCGCTTAAACTGCAAGCAGTGAGCGTGCGCAATGCGTAAGCGGCATGGCTCATCCTGTTGAGCGCTCAATATGACCTAAAGGCCATAGAGCGATATCTAACTACAGACAGTACCGTTTCGGCCTTATATATATATATATATATATATATATATATATATATATATATATATATATATATATATATATATATATATATATATATATATCCGTCCCCAGAATTTCATCGGATTTGGAAACGAACGGTAACTGGTTTGTTTCGGTCGACTTCAATCGCACCGCAACCGCACCGCAACCTAACAGCAACCTCACCACAGCCTCACCGAAACATCACCACAACATCACGGCAACCTCACCGCAACCTCACAACAACATCGTCGCAGCCTTACCGCAACTTCCCCACAACGTCACCGGCGCAACTTCACAGCAACCTCACGGCAAGCTCACCATAACCTCACAGCAACCACACCGCAACGAATTAACCTCAACCGCATTGTTAGGTTATTTCTGAAATAATGCATGTGTGGAATAGACTGAATGAAACATTTACTCGTGTTTTGTGCACAATAGAGTTCAATAGACTTGTGAGATCAAAGAGAAACATATTTGTGGGATAAACGTCAGGAGCCATGATACAAGAAGCAAACATGGAGACGAGGGTGTTGAGGCAAAAGTGGTTTCAATAAACGATAAAATTCCACGTCTGAAAATAACAAAATACACATTTCATGTAAATTCCACAATTTGTACATATGAAATTTATTTTAGTGTATATGTTGTATTTTTTTTCTTTATCGTCTAGCTTGTTATTCTTCACCGCCAATGAAGCTTTGGAGAGAGATTTAGTTGTTTATAATATTACCAATGGAGAAGTGAGGACATTATACAACGCCAATAGTTCATCTATCAGGCTAACAATCGACAGACTGAACCAGATAATTTATTGGATTAGTTATAACACTGAAAGTAATAGTTTGATGTTGCGAAAGACAGACTACAATGGTAACACTACGGTTATTACCAGTTCATTTGCACAGTCTGGGCGACCTGCTATTACCCATATTGGAGACTACTATTACGTGCTTGATTCATCTCAATCCATTATTCGAAAATATGATAAAGCGACCGATACCGTTGTTCAAAATATCACAGTTTATGGTGGGGCAACTGAAATAATTGGCACTAACGGTAAGTGTATTATTGGAATCATGGTATTATACCAGACATGTCTCCCAAATTACTGTCATTAAACGTTTATATTAAAGCCTTGATGCCGCGTGCGATAAATCGCGTACCTACATACTGGAGGTACGCAAATTGGCGCTTAGCGGACTGCAGACTACAGGCAGGAGCATGCTAGAAAACTAGCTCGAGTTACATGATTACTTTGAACTCACCGCAGCCAACTACGCACGTGAGTTGGAATGTTCTTTTTTGTAGTGCCGACTGCATGCGGTAGGATTTGCATCGAATTCATGGAATTTTGATTTTGTAGATGAGGTTTTGTAAATTTCGACGAGATATTATTCCTAATTGGTACTGAAAAATAGACTAGAAAGGCATGTAGTAAAACACTGACTACCGGAACACCGGAACACCACCGGAACACCACCGGAACACCACCGGAACACCGGAACACCACCATTTTGTTTGGGGTTAGGGTTAGGATTAGGGTTTGGGGTTAGGATTAGGGTTAGGGTTGGGGGTTAGGGTTGGGGTTAGGGTTAGGTGGTGTTGCGGTGTTCCGGTGGTGTTCCGGTAGTCAGTGTTTTACTACATGCCGACTAGAAAAGCCTTCATACCGAAGCTGTAGTTGTGTTGTTCTTTTTTAAACTGTTGCCCCGCGCGGGAGACGACATGCGTACTCTACCAATGTCCAAATATTCAAGCGTATTCTCTGCTCAACTAACTTAAAGTGGCCAATATTACGGTCTATTGCTTCTTTCATTTCAGCCAAGTGGCACGCACATATTGTAGTACACTGTTTTTTTCTGATAATATACCTTCAACGTAAACTCGTTTAACATACATTTTTTTCTTACTAGACTTGGACGAGTGTACCGAAGATCCCTGTGATCCACTGGCGGACTGTACAAATTTTATTGCCGGATATTCTTGTGTTTGCCGGTTTGGTTACACTGGAAATGGAAGTGTCTGTAACGGTAGGTCGATAATTATTATTTTTGTTGGTATATATTAATATACAGTCACTTACATTGCGAAGTATTACTTGCGACAATGTAGCGATAATAGCAAAAGCAGACGCAACTTGAAGGGCAGCATTTCGAGGGTGTAGCTCTGTTAGTTCCGAGTGCGCAAGTCGGCTTACCATGCACAAACTCCACCCTGCTTGACTGGCTCACACTCATCTTTTCAACATCCCGGCTTCATATACGTGCAAATGATGGCAAAATTGAGCAGTTCAACGCCATTCTCCTGAAGGGATTCGAGGCACAAACGCTGTCCATGAAGTGCAACCAAGCCTGCTGATTGCCGCGCAGTTGAATGATTCTTAAGAAGAATTGGCAAGATTCCGTGCACTAATTCTATTGAGAAAGCTGCAGCTGGGACAACGCGTGAACGTGGCCACAACGCTTGCTGGTTGATGGCTGCTTGCTGATGTTCAAGTCTGCTGATATATTGACAGGGACTGGGCCTACAGCCCAAGATTGCGGATTTGAAAACACGGTTGCATGGCTGTTGACGTAGGAGGTTAGACTACGAGTGTATGGATTGTTATTGACGAATGTTATTACAGAATGTCGGATATATTTACGATTTTTCGAATGACATTATTAATTATTCTTTGGATATTTCGTACTTTTTTCGGCATATAGGCCTTACAGCTCGGTGGTGGAAAAAATCCTGCTTACGGCCCTGCAAATGATGTTTGGGCAACGTAGTGTAACGCATTTACTGTCGCCCACGATGGATTTACCGAAGAAGATGGAAAAGAAAGCCACATGTTTGGTAACAATCTGGACCACGTTGTCACAAACCATCTGAAATAGATAACCAGAGAACGTCCAACGTAGTCGAAGTAAAAATAGACGTGGACGTGCTCTTAATAAGCTCCATCAAAATGTTGCGAATACAAATGAAAATAGTTGTCTGAATTCCTTTCTTACTAGTGCTAGTTGCACTAAACTGCCTGGCATGTCTTATGATGGAGTACGTTTAAAGTGGACCGGTGATTTAACAAATTTAAAACGAATTGTACGAGAAGTGTGGGGCCTCGAAGGCAAATGGTTATCACCTGGGGGCCAGTCGAAGAAGTTTTCTAGCACAAACTCTGACTTAGTAGTCCATGACGACCCGCACGTTTTGAAAAACAGCGGGATCTGCAAACTAAGTTTGCAACTTCAGGTAGCGAGCAACGCTAATCGCATTATTGAATACCACAGGGTTCCAATCTGGGACCATTGCTATTTTCATTGTACATAAATGATTTACCAATGTGCCTTGAGTACACACAAGCATCCATGTTTGCTGATGACACCAATCTATCATGCACAGGAAGGACCCCAGCCGAAATTGAGCACAAACTAAACGCTGACTTATCCAATGTTAACGACTGGTTAGAAGCAAATAGGTTGACATTGAACAAAGACAAAACAGAATTTATGATAATAGCCTCAAAAAGAAAACTTAATCAATTTCGCACTGATATTCGTATACATATAAACGGATCCATTATTAAACAAGTTAAGCAAAAAAACCCCTTAGGTATTACAATTGATAACGAACTAAGGTGGACTGAACACATTAATGAGTGCAATAGCTCTGCTTAGGAAGGCAAACCCACACGTACCTTACAACGACTTACTCCGTATTTACAATTCCCTGGTAGTTCC